AATTGATTTTTTAACACAACTTATGTACACATTCGTAGAGAATGAAATGATACTCTGTATTGTGGTTGCCATTTAAATCACTACTTCAGACGCGTGCATATGACGCGCAGGTGAGCAGGTTTCGTCCTCGATCTTCCTTTTAACGATCATTCCGCGGATCCGTGAGTTCACATATTGGAATTTCATTAGTAATGGATTCTCTCGAAGAGGAAATCTCCGAGCGTAGGAGTCCCACAATAGTAAAGCAATAAATGCCTTGTAGTATCGCATTGCACAGAAGGTTACTTGATACCATGAATCAAATCGTCGCGGATTCAATTACGAAAGTACACGCATGTTTACTGATCGCGTAAGTTCGACATTCTTCTACGACTTGTGGAAAGTAAGATTGCACAGTACCTGATACAAAGAGAATGAAAGCGCGTTTGTGATTATTAATCTGCATATGCGGTACCCGCATAATACACTAATTGCCACTCGGACACTATGCGTATGTGAATTACCGCGAACGAAATAATCGAAACGCGAAAATGTGGTTGTTTACTAAAATGCCAAGGCTTTCGCGTGTCAAACCTGTTACCGCGCGCATATCTTCGCAAATCGACTCTTTGGGTGCTTAAAAACTAGCAGTCACGTAATTTTTAATTCTTAATTTATTACAAAAATAAATATGGCACATACAATCATATATTAGTAATAATTCAATAATAATAAAAACAATCATCAGTAATAATTTATTATGGATAAACGTGACTCATAAAATAGTGTGATTTTATGTAACGCGCAAATATGAATGAAGCGTAAAAGAACACAGGTCAGATATTCTTAGGAAGTAGAAGCAAGTCGCACGAGACAATAATCGATTCGTTTATTATTGGTAATTCAGACTTGTCTTTATTCCGCAACGGCCGGTGTCTTATGGCATTGTCTCGGAACGTCACATATGCTCGGGAACGTCTATGCATCCCATGAAAGCATCGGAGGGTCGACCCTATTGTACCACACATTCGGGTCCAATAGGGGACAGCTGGTTGTAGACCGTTACTTAAAGGTGTGCATGCTCAAAACACGAGCATGCTCAGATTAGTCAGTGAAGTTTAAATTCCAAAACAGAGATTCGGAGGTTTCTATCACGTGACGTCTGTATCAATCACTCAATCTTGCATATATACTACTGCACGTAATTGACAATTGAACAATGCACAACTGGCATTATAATTTTTTACATTCAATGAATGTTTCATGTCTCTTTATATAATTATCTGTTTTTAGAGCAGACTTTAGTATGGCATTATAAAATCCAGGAAACACAATCTTTCGTAAGCAACAAGATTTGTGTAATCAAACCAGACAGCTGGTATCATAATAATATACCATGAGAGGTAATAATGATAACTAGACTGCGGATCTTTATGCAAAATAAACCAGATGTAATGTCCATGTAGAAAATGAAATCTAAATACGAATTTCCATTTTATTTTAAAAAACATAGTATGCATTTCACTTTATATATCATTCGATATGAGATCAATTTTTTGTATTTTTTGTACTCTATATTCTGTACGTTCTATTACATAAGTAATTGAAAAAAGGAGTTAACGGTTACCATATCATTTCACTTCTTTATTTATGGGTTGTTCGGGCTCGTCATTCACGTTGTACCTTTATCGCTATCTCCTGCACACCTTAAAAGGAATTAAATTTAGGATCGAATCGGCTATTTGCACACCATGCGCCATCTGTAATCGTAGAAGAACATTCTCGTTGCTTTCCACTGGGACTCGATGATAGATGGTACTTCCCATTCTCCAGATTGTATAAACTGCCTCGCGATTGGAACGATCTAATTTGAAGCCTTTTATAGCAACCAATCAGGGGCACGTTAGAACAGAATGAGCGAAGAAAATAGAAGGTTAAGTTTCAAATGAGGTCGCCACTTGCAGGCCGACAACTCCTTATTCCTTAGGAATTGTGCTTTGCTGTGTTCTCGATCAAAAGTTATTTGATTAAAAATTGGGAATTCTCCTACTTCATCAGTGAATCGCAATGGTAATTAATTGATTTTATCTTTCTGGTTCTCGTTGCGGAGTAATATTGTCGTAAACATTGGTATTTAAAATGATATCACATTGTTTTAACCCCCGGTTTCGTGAATGAACGTATGACAAATGGCGCACGTGTGTCAATAAAATCATTTTCAATTATTAACCATAATATTAATTTCCTGCAAGATAAAAACAAATTTTCATGTTCTTGCAATTACGTTCTAAATTATCTCATTATGTGGTTTTATTAGCTCAAAAGATAAGCTTAGAGAAAGAACTATTAAGATGTATCGTCTCTTAAAATATAATAACTTATGAAAATCTAAATATCATTTTCAGGTTTCCTTGAATCCTGTCAGGATCCTCAAGCATGAGGCAGAGGAAGAAAAAGCAGAGATTGCTAGGCTAAGCTTGTTCGTGGGAGCAATAGCTATCGGCGATTTGGTAAAGTCTACTCTTGGCCCAAAGGGCATGGACAAGGTATTAGTTTCCCATGGTAGATCCGCAGGCCAAGTTCAGGTCACGAACGATGGAGCGACCATTCTTAAAAATGTTGGCGTTGATAATCCTGCTGCAAAAATTTTGGTAGACATGTCCCGCGTACAGGACGACGAAGTTGGAGATGGCACTACTTCTGTGACTGTTCTCGGTTAGTACAATTAAACGTAATCGTAATCGAATTAAAAATTTCCAATTAAAGTAAATATCAATTATAGAACTTCTAACTCTAATTTAAGAATGTATTTAAAGTAATTATTTATGTTTCCAGCATCTGAGTTGTTGAGAGAAGCGGAGAAATTAATCGATCAAAAGATCCATCCACAAACTATAATCTCTGGCTGGAGAAGTGCGACGAAGGTAGCGAGGGACGCATTGAAAAATACTGCGGCTGACAATTCCGCAGATCCCGAACGTTTCTGTGAAGACCTGCTGAATATCGCTCGCACGACTTTGAGCTCGAAGATTTTGTCCCAGCACAAAGAACATTTCAGCAAGCTTGCTGTAGACGCTGTCTTGCGTTTGAAAGGATCCGGCAATCTTTCGGCCATTCAAGTCATTAAGAAGCGCGGTGGGACTTTGTACGATTCCTTCCTTGAAGAAGGATTTTTGCTGGACAAGAAACCGGGAGTACATCAGCCACAGAGAATAACTGACGCCCGTCTACTTATAGCTAATACTCCCATGGATACAGATAAGATTAAAGTAAGCGAGAGATATCGATATCAATCTTAAAAAATCGTGTATACTTTAGTATATTATATTCATATTAAATATTTATTGTTTGGCAGGTATTTGGTTCTAGAGTTAGGGTTGATTCAATGGCGAAGATTGCGGAGCTGGAATCTGCAGAGAAAGAGAAAATGAAGGTAATATATTATTTCAAAGTAAGATAATCTTTTTGTAATACGTTGCTTTCTTCCAACGTAGGATAAAGTTGATAAAATCATAAAACACGGCTGCAACGTTTTCGTCAATCGACAATTAATTTATAATTATCCGGAGCAACTGTTCGCCGATGCTAATATCATGGCTATCGAGCACGCCGACTTCGATGGTATCGAACGACTTGCCCTCGTCACCGGTGGAGAAATAGTCAGTACTTTCGATCATCCTGAAATGGTGAAGCTTGGCAAATGTGATCTCATTGAACAGGTATGGATATAATTTTAGTTTTTACAGTTTAAAAAAGACAACAACAAATTAAAAGTATGTTTATTTGTTTAGGTGATGATAGGTGAAGATACCTTATTGAGATTCTCGGGAGTTCCTTTGGGCGAAGCTTGCACGGTTATCATCCGAGGTGCCACGCAGCAGATTCTTGACGAAGCCGAGAGGTCCTTGCACGACGCTCTCTGCGTATTGGCAGCTACCGTGCGCGAAACGAGAATCGTATATGGTGGAGGATGCAGCGAGATGATAATGGCCTGCGCCGTGATGAAAGCTGCAACTTCCACTCCAGGGAAAGAAGCAGTTGCAATGGAATCGTTCGCTCGAGCATTGCAACAGTTGCCCACTGTCATCGCCGATAACGCCGGGTACGATTCCGCTCAACTGGTCAGCGAATTGAGAGCTGCGCATAACTCCGGCGCGAATACCATGGGCATTGGTAAGTTCATCCTTTATAAGTATTATTATATTTGTTACTAGGCTGCGGATTTTATTCAATTATGAGAAAATTAAATGTGCAGAAATAATGAATGCTGCGTGTAAAGTAATAAACGATTCGGAGTATTAAAAGCTGAATGGATATTTCTATTTTTGAATGATTAAACTAAATTGATACCATAAACATTTTATTTTCCACAAGACCCACAGTCTATTTATTATTGTTGAATATATTGATAAGAAATTTTCTGTATTTTGTGTGAATAGATATGGAAAGTGGAAAAATTGGCTGTATGAAACAATTAGGTGTGACCGAATCTTGGGCAGTGAAGAGACAAGTTTTACTTAGTGCATCAGAAGCAGCGGAAATGATTTTGCGTGTGGACGATATCTTGCGTGCGGCGCCCAGGAAGCGTGTCAAGGACCGTGGACGTTGTTAATTCCATGAACGATCCGTCATTGCTTTATTTGCACTGCTTTTTGTAATGCGAATTACAAACGATTTAGCTTCACATTTTTTTGTTATTGAACATTAATATTATGAATTGATGTTAAGAAACACTATTTCTTCGATATTCTAACGTGTAATATTTTAAATCAGAATTCTTA